AAATGCAGTCATTATTTTAAAATAATAATAATAATAATACAATAAAAATCATACTCTAAAAATATATATATATAATGTCATTGAAGATATTTGTGTTACTCATATCTTGCCTGTCTTCTCCTCAGGTAGCAAGAGCTTTTTTTCTCATTTTCATAGTTGCTTCCTTGCTCAAAAAAAAAATAGTATATAGCTGCAGAATTATGGATCATAGTATCTGAATGAATAGGGAGCACATGGCAATTTTAAGAAACCTACCTGCCTTGACCTCTGCCTGAACCCAACTTTATTACATCTTCACAAGCTAGGCTGATTGTGTACCTGAGGCATATTCATCTCATTCACAGGTACACAGTATTTTATGGACAAATGGTTCCCTGTACTCAGATGTGAACAAAGCTTTTGTTCATTAATCTCCATTTCCCTCAAGTACATTCCTGAGCTTGAAGTTTGTAAAATAGTCAATTATCCAGAAATAGGAAATCACAAAGTTCCTTCGGTTGAAGTATTTGCTGTTTCCCCAAGAAGAATCCTTTTGATATTTGATATTTCTGCTTCTGGGTAAAGCGGATCCATAGAGATTAATTTACCTATCTACCTAAAACAGCTAAAACAGTGTAACCTTCACTAAAACGGGTGGGATTGATACAGAAGAAAGACTTCAGGTGGACAGAGGTCCCTGAGAGGTGAGATGTGACGTCTGATTGCCCTGGCTTCTGTCATGACAAGTTCCAAACCTGGAGTGGGTGGGTCCCAGCAGACTCCCAGTTGTTGGTGAAGAGGTGACTTGGTGAGACACAGCGCAGACTGTGGGGCACCAGAGAAGGCTAGTGACGGGTCGTACTGCTGGCCACCACGCATTGTAGAAGTTGGCAAAGGAGAAGGCACACACATGGTACATTCTGCAAAAATCCACCTTCATTTCAAGATATGTGCCACAGCAGTGCTGCTACATGCAGAAGCTGATGCCAGGAAAACTATGCAGATCACCAGAAACTGACCAAGTCTGGTGTGCCAGAGGCTGCAGTACCCATACACTGGGGGGTTACCGGCCGAGCAGTGCAGAGTGAATCAGGGAAGAAAAATTCTTTCCGCTCTCTTCCTGCAGTGCCCTCTACTGACAAAGATTAACACGGCCCCTATTGGCAAAAAACAATCATAATAAATTAGGTCTCACTATTCATTTTCTCAGAAGAGAAAGCACTGTAGCAATGTCCTCCCATTGTTTATCGATTTGCTCCAGCGGGCACCAGTAACATTTCCATTGTGTGACTTGTTGTTACTGTTTTTGGCATAATGAATACGCCAGGAGGAGCTTGCCAGGCTCTGCTGTGCGGGCAGGATACTCTTGGTAGCTTGCCAGGCTCTCCTACAGGGACGAAGGAATCGAACCTGGGTCGGCCGCGTGCAAGGCAAACGCCCTACCTGCTGTGCTATCGCTCCAGCTTTTAAGTGTATACATATAAATAAATATATACACGTATTGATTTGCTAAATAGCTTGCAAGGCTTTGCCCTACAGGCGGAATACTCTAGGTAGCTTGCCGGGCTCTCCGAGAGGGGCGGAGGAATCGAACCTGGGTCGGGCATGCAAGGCAAACACCCTACCCGCTATGCAAAAAAAAAAAAAAATTGGAACTACATTAATTTTTATGTAGAAATGGACGCTTTCTAAATTTCACCTGGAAATGCAAATGGCATAGAGTTGTCAAAACAACTTTGATAAAGAGTGAAATTGACAGGCAAGCACTTCATGATTTCAGGACTATTAAAAAGCTGCAGTAAACAAGACAGTGGCTTAGAAATACAGACAAAATAAGACCAATGGAACAAGTCAGAGAATCCAGAAAGAAACCTGCGAATATACACTGAACTGAAACTTTAACAAAATTGCCAAAGTAATTCAATGAATGCTAAAATAATTCAATAGACATAGTCACAAACCATAAACTAACCATACCTCACATTCCACATTAACTAAGAAAAGATCATAAAATTTGATGTAAAGTAAAGTAAAGGCCCTCCCATTGATCGTCGATTTGCTCAAGCGGGCCCAGTAACGTCTCCATTGGAGACTTTGTTGTTACTGTGTCTGGCATATCGAATACTCTCGGTAGCTTGCCGGGCTCTCCGAGAGGGGAGGAGGAATCGAACTTGGGTCGGCCATGTTGGCCGCGTGTAAGGCGAACGCCCTACCCGCTGTGCTATCGCTCCAAATCTTCTAATAGGAAATATAGATGAAACACGGTGGGCTTGCCTTTGGCAAAGGTTTCTTAACTGAAAACTTCTACTCTTTCTACTGTTTTCTTTTGGGTCACACCCGAAGATGCACAGGGGTTACTCCTGGCTCATGCACTCAGGAATTAATTACTCTTGGTGGTGCTCGGGGGATCATATGCGATGCTAGGACTTGAACCCGGGTCAGCCGCGTGCAAGGCAAATGCCCTACTTGCCATGATATCACTCCAGCCCCTATTCTTTTCTTGAGAGAAAAATTAAGCAAACCACAGATTAGAGAAGGTAACTGCAAAGCTCGAATTTATTAGTGATGTATAGTTCGATAATATATAAGCAATTCTCACAACACAGGAAGACACAAAAAAAGGCTCCGTTTAAAAACTAGCAGAAATATTGAGGAAATGCTTCACCAACATAGGAATCGAATGACAAACAAACACTGAATGAAATGAAACAATGAAAAGATGAGTTTAAGATCAATAGCCTTCTGAGAAATGCAAATTAAAATAAGATCCCACCACCCACCCATGAAAAGAGCTAAAAATTGTTTAAATCCAACAAAGTCTTGGTGGGAATGAAACTCTATTCAGGTCTGTATTTTCCACTTTAGGAAACAATTTCAAAATTTCTTAAAATTTTAAAGGTATCATGATCTACTGATTCCTATAAACTTATCCAAGAGAAATACACCCTTTTAAAAGGGACTGGAGCAACAGCACAGAAGGTAGGACATTTGCCTTGCATGAGGCCGACCCAGGTTCGATTCCCAGGATCCCGTATGGTGCCCCAAGCACTGCCAGGAGTAATTCCTGAGTGCATGAGCCAGAAGTAACCCCTGTGCAATGCCAGGTGTGACCAAAAAAACAAAAAAAAAAAAAGGGAGGGGCATATATCTATTTAAATATTTGTACAGATATATCATGGCTTTATTTTTAATAAGCAAGACTGGAAAGAAGCACAGTTTCTTCAACAAATCAGTAAATTATATTTTTATTCCCTAAAATTGATCTCTGTGCTGCTCATCAATAAAAAAAAATGTGAACTGATCAATGCCCACAGTATACAAGTAAATCTCCAAATACTTAGCTGAGTGAAAGAAGTTAGGTCTCTCCACAAAAAGACCATGTTGTTTATGGTTCTGTTTATATAGATTCTGAACAAAAATTAATGGATAGTATCCAAATGCCTATTAGAAGTTACCTGGGAAGGGGCAGAAGGAAGATGAAGAAGAGACTGTGGAGTACCTGTATAGCAAACCATGATGCCCCAAAGTAGAGAGAGTAAAAAGGAAGGTGTCTGCCACAGAGGCAGGGGGTGAGATGGGGTGAGGATGGCAGGAGGGAAACTGGGGACATTAGTGGTGGAAAATGTGCACTGGTGGAGGGATGGGTGTTCGATCATTGTATGACTGAAACTCAATCATGAAAGTGTTGTAACTGTATCTCCTGGTGATTCAATAATAAATAAATAAAAATAAAGGAACTGTGGAAACTTAAAGGAGTGATAAATAAATTTATCATCTTGCCTGGTGGTGGGTCCACAGGTGCATACTATGCTAAAAAATTTGGAGATGTATGCTATAAGTTCAGTTTAGCATATGTCTGTTAAGTCTCAACAACAAAACCTTTTTTAAAAAACTGTTTTACTTTATTATTTTTTATTGAATCACTGTGAGACACAGTTACAAAGTTGTTCATGATTAAGTTTTAGTGATACAATGTTCTAACATCCATCCTTTCACCAGTGTACCATTCTCACCACCAATGTCCCCAGTTTCCCTCCCACTATCCCCCCAGTCTGCTTCTATTCTATTCTATTTTTCTTTTTTCTTCTCTCTCTCTCTCTCTCTCTCTCTCTCTCTCTCTCTCTCTCTCTCTCTCTCTGTCTCCTCTCTCTTCCCTTTTATCCTTTTAGGCACTTCAATTTGCAATACTTTACTGAAAGGTTATCATGCATATTCCTTTACCTCCTTGAAGCACCCAATTCTTGTCCAGAGTGATTATTACCAACTATCATTGTCATCATTGTCATAGTGTTTTCTTCTCTGTCCTAACTGCACTCCCCTGCCCACTTGTGGTAAACTCCTAACCATGGACCAATCCTCCTGACCCTTATGTCTATTGCATTAGATATTAGACTTCTACTATGATTTTTTTAAAGAGAACTTTTTAAAAACGACGATTCTTGCTTCCCAACTGTTATCTTCCGATGCCAACCTCTCTGACTGATTTTATAATTTTTGACCAAATAAGTTCCATTAAACAAGTTAATGGAATGAAGATCTTGCTAAAAGGAAAGCAAGAAATTTCCCTCCTGGGTACATAAATGGCTGTGCTCAGAATATCAATCACATTAGCAGGAGAACTGAAGTAAGTCCCAGCGTGTAGCGGGAAAACACTACAATTCAAATACGCTGCCCACACATCAGAAACCAAGGTGAGAGAGAAACACCAGACATGGGGGTTTTTGTACAGTGAGCATAATGATTTTTCTTCCTACGGTTCCAGAACAATTTCAATCAAAGATGTTTTATTTTCCCCTGATAAATGTTCAAACAAGCCATCAATTTGTCAGGTCTTAGAAGTAACTTCGTAGCTGAGAGCAGAACTGTAAACATGTACCTTTCATCCCCTCCAAGGTATGAGATCATTCCCTGCATCCTGTCTTTTGGAAAACTTTTGGTTCACAGCTTACTGACCCTGTTTCCCCCCCACCCTCTCTGCCCCCACCCCATCCCCATGTCCCACCTGTGTTTTGCCATGCCAGATGTATTGTGAAGATAACTGGAGAAATGGTGTTGTCCTTCCCTGCTGGCATCACCAGACACTTTGCCAACAACCCCTCACCAGCTGCTCTGACCTTCCGGGTGTTAAATTTCAGCAGGTTAGAACATGTCCTGCCAAATCCCCAACTTCTCTGCTGGTAAATACTTTTTTTGCACTTTTTTGTGTGTATACGGATGGGCGGGCTGGAGCGATAGCACAGCGGTAGGGCATTTGCCTTCCATGCAGACGACTTGGCCAACCCGGGTTCGATTCCTCCACCCCTCTTGGAGAGCCCTGCAAACTACCGAGAGCATCTCGCCCGCAGGGCAATGATGGCAAGCTCCCCGTGACGTATTCGATATGCCAAAAACAGTAACAACAAGTCTCAAAATGGAGACGTTACTGGGCCCGCTCGAGCAAATCGATGAACAATGGGAGGACAGTTCTACAGTGCTACGAATAAGTGTGGGTGGCATGCGCTTGATGTTAAGATGAGCAATCTGCCTTGCTTGACTCGGCAATAGCATGGGAGACCACCACAGAGCTACCAACAGTCCACAGCAGGGCTTTGAGTTTGTTTTCTGCGGTCTTCCATGCTATTTCCACCTTGCTTCTCCTGCCTCCAGCCCATTTTTTCAGGTCTCAGCTCCTCAACTCAACCTTAAGCCAGTTATTTAATTTTACTGCCCACTGTAGTCTTGCGGGTAGGACCTTTGGCTTGCACGTGTCCAACCCGGGTTTGATTCCTTCGCTCCTCTTGGAGAGCCCGGCAAGCTATTGAGAGTATCAAGCTGGCACCTCAGAGCCTGGCAAGCTCCCCGTGAAGTATTCGATATGCCAAAAACAGTAACAACAAGTCTCACAAAGGAGACATTATGGGTGCCAGCTCGAGCAAATCGCAAATCCATGAACAATGGGAGGATAGTGCTACAGTGCTACTGTGGTCTTGCAGGCTTGAGGATTTAAATCACTAAAGGCTTAAGCAGCCCTTTATGCTTAACAAAGGCAGCGTTAATGGGTCCAGAGTCTTCTCTGCCACTTCCTCCACGCACAGAGCCCAAGAGCTCACTAGCTTTATAAAAGGGCGCCGTGACTCCACCAAAATGGGTCCCCCAGACCCTGCCTCCTGACAGCCCCATAGCAAGCCGAAGACCCGGTTCACCTCTATAAGCATAAATATAATTCTTCCTCTGCAGCTCAGTTTTAATAAGCGTTTATGGTGTGTTTAGTGAACAGCCAACAAATGAACTGTTTGCCAAGTTACTAAATTACTGAGGCCCTCAGTTTCCACATTACGGGGACTGTTGCCTTTCACACACTTGTCTGGTTCCTTGCAAAATGCAGGAGTGACTGACTTGGGGGAAGGTCCCCGAGCAAGCCTAAGGGCTCTCATAGGAATGGAAACTACTCGAACCACCACAATTACTCTTTAAATTCTTGCATCATTTTGTACATAGAATGCCTTTTGGGTGATGTAGATGCTTTGGGGTGAAGTGCTCATAAGGTAACGTGTTCATTTCAGCATCTCCTTGTGCTCCTTCACTGTGATAAAGACTACACGTGCATGTGGTCAGCTATTTAAATTGGTGACTTCTGAGAAACTACTGTCGAAGCCAGCACGAAAGGAAATCAATGCGCTCAGTTCCTTGACTGCATTAAACAGACTAATTCAGGGGGAACTGGTGCTTTAGAAAAGGCTGTTAAGTGTGGGTTAATAAATAATTCACCCTTTGAGGCAAACTCTATCATTAGGATTTGTTAATATTACTGGCTACTCACTGGGATTTATAGCAAGACATTAATGTCTCCCTCTGGGTATTTACCTGTTAACATATCACCATTCTGAACTGCTAAAGGATAATAAAATCACACTACCACTAATTTTCTCTCTATATATTGTCAATGTTCGACATAGATCTAATATTAGAATGTGCTAAAATGTTTCTTGTGTGGTTTATATTTTCTGTTGGATATTATTCCATTACTTTTCTTCTTCCCAATTGAATAGTGATAATACCCAAAATGATGCCAATACCAAGGAATTCTGGGTGAACATGCCAAATTTGATGACTCACCTAAAGAAAGTATCAGAACAAAAACCCCAGGCTACATATTATAATGTGGACATGCTCAAATATCAGGTAAGCTGACTTATGTGGTCAGGGAATTGCTATCATCTTACAAATGTATATTTGTATATACCTAAAACTAACTAACTTTGGGTATAAATGTATACCTAAAACTAACTAAAAGCAAACACAGCTATGTGGGGTTTTTTTCTCAATAATTATAGGTACCGTATGCAGCAAATGAACTTTTTTCTTTCCAACTTTTATTTAGGCATTGTAATTGACAATGTTGTTATTAATAGTCTTTTGTCATATAATCTTTCAACTCCACATCATCTGTCACTAATGTCCACGTTCTTCCACCAATATCTAAAGATCCTCTCCCACCCACTACCCCCAATCTCTGGGCAGATTCTCTTTTTTTAATGTAATTATTATAGTTTGGGTCAGTTGTTTACAGTAGTGTTAATAATTATGGTTTTGATGTGTATACACAGTTACCTCAGCACCACCAAAGTGCCCACCAATGTCCTTATGTTACATTCAATCCACTTCATCCTACAAACCTTTACTTAGTATTCTCGGGTTTGTATCCAGAACCAAAGGTTTATATAATTTTATACCTTCCATTTCCTTATCTCGTTTCTCTAAACACCACAGATGACTGAGGTTATTAGGGTATTTATCTTCTTCCTCCAACATACTTAGCTTAACAATATGAAACTCCAGTTTCACCCAATTTGCCACTAACTACATGATTTTGTGTTTTCTTGTGGCTGCATGGTATTCCACTGTGTATATATATGACAACTTCTCTATCCATTCACCTATTGTTGGAAATTAGGTTGTTTCCATATTCAGGATGTTGTATTCAATATTGCAATGGACTGAAGTGCACATCTGTCTTTTTGAATTAGTGTTTTTTTGTTTGGTCGGTGTTGCTAATAAGTTGCATCTGGGAAAACAGAACTTTTTAGTGGGGGGAACACACTCGGTAGTGCTCAGGGCTTACTTCTGTCTCTGTTATCAGAAGTCATTTCTGGCAGGGATTTAGGGGATTATATAAGGAGGCAGGGATTGAACTGGGATCAGCCATATTAAAGGAAATTGCCCTACCCACTGTACTATCTCTCTGGCTCCCAAAATAGACTTCTATTTTAATAAATGACTATTAGGATCTTACATAGTGACAAGAATATGCCTGTATATCCTCATTAATAATCTTCAAGTAAAATATTTATTAGGTATTAGGAAAACAAGCCCTCAAATTAAAATTACAGGAAATTATATTAATTTGGATGACTGGAGCAATAGCACAGCAGGTAGGGCATTTGCCTTGCACGCGGCCGACCCAGGTTTTATTTCTCCGTCCCTCTCAGAGAACCCAGCAAACTACTGAGAGTATTCCAACCACATGGCAGAGCCTGGCAAGCTCTCTGTGGCATATTTGATATGCCAAAAACAGTAACAACAAGTCTCACAATGGAGATGTTACTGGTGGTTCCCACTAGAGCAAATTAATGAACAATGGGAGGACAGTGCTACAGACAATGCTATATTGATACTCTAGATGGCTGTAATTTTGTTAAGAGTATTACTATATTAAGATCTCTTCTTTTCAATGACTAAATGTTAACCTAGAAGAGCCAATAAAATGTGATAGTATTACAAAATATATTTTTGTAATATATTTTATAACATTATTTAAAAAATAATTTAACGTTAAAAATTATTTTGACCAAGACAATATAGTATATAAGAATTCACATTTTGTGTCTAAAATTATCCTTACTTAAAATTATTATTAATCAAACAAACTGGACTATTTTTAGCTAGCATCAATAGTACCAACCTAGGTTTTCTTTTGTTCCCAGGTATTTGATTTTATATAGTATTTTAGCTACCATAACACTTGTGATTAAATGTGTTCAAATTCTTTCCCTTAAGATAAAAAACTGTATTTCATTAAACTGTTATGTAATAGAAGCCAGTGTATCTCAAACATGACTGTATTTTACAATCAAGGCAGAACATATAAATAAATATTGATTCTGATCTAGTGATAGGTAGATGGATTGATAGATGTCTATCATAAAAATCTATCCAGAGACAGAGATTTAAAGAGCTCTGACAGTTGGAATAGAAAAGGGATCACTAAGTCAATGATGGTTGGAGGGATCACTCAGAATGGGAGATATGTGCTGAAAGTAGATAAAAGACCAAACATGATGGCCTCTCAGTATATGTATTGCAAACCATAATGCCCCAAAGTAGAGAGAGAATCTGAGGGAAATTGTTTGCCATAGAGGCAGGGGGAGGGGTAGAATGGAGGGGATACTGGGGACATTGGTGATGGAAAATGTGCACTGGTGGAGGGATGGGTGTTCAATCATTGTATGACTTAAACTCATTCATGAAAGCCTTGTAACTGTATTCCATGGTGATTCAATCAAAATTAATTAATTAAAGAGCTCTGACAACTCTAGAGACTTAGCTTCACTGAATCAAATGAAGCTCAAGTGTCTTTATCTTGATGTCTTCTAAGAGACAACAGACATTTATATTGTTGTAAGATAACCAATGAAAGGGATTATTCTCTATACTTGTATATTTCAGGGGGTCAGGGACTGGAGCGATAGCACAGTGGGTAGGGCGTTTGCCTTGCATGTGGCCAATCTGGCCAACCCGAGTTCAATTCCCCTGCCCCTCTTGGAGAGCCTGGCAAGCTACCAAGACTATCTCACCTGCACAGCAAAGCTTGGCAGGCTACTCGTGATGTATTCGATATGCCAAACACAGTAACAAGTCTCACAATGGAGATGTTACTGGGCCCACTTGAGTAAATCGATGAACAGGAAGACAGTGCTACCAGTGCTACAGGATGTCAGAGCAATAGTACAGCAGTTAGGGCATTTGCCTTGCACATGGCCAACCCGGATTCAATCCCCAGCATCCTATATGGCCCCAGAGCACTGTCAAGAGTAATTCCTGAGTACAGAGTCAGGCTACAGATGAAAACAATGTTTGTCCTGTGAAAACAGCATTATCTAAGCATTCAACATTGCCAATAATAAAAGCAGAGCATGATAAAAATTTATCACTTTTATGATTAAACAAAAATAGAAGACATGTTTTTCCTTAACTTCCTTTTTCCAAGGCACTTTAACACATTTAGTTGCTGCTTTAATATTTTGAAAGAAATGAGAGAAGTAAGGAAAGAAAATGCCAGAATATTTTTTCCCTGAATAAGAATTAATGTGCTACTTTTTGATTCCACCTTTGTGGTTAATTAAACCTAGAGAGTAGGTAGAACTGACCTATTTTCTGTATGAGCTTTTTTATTGGATGAGAGAATATCAAGTAAAACTATCCTAGTTAATGGTTGTAAGTTGTGTGTTATTCGATTACCTCTCCAGATAATAGTTGTAAAATAGTTTGAAGATTGTGAAAGACTAGACTCAAATTACTCTAAAAAATTAAGTGCACAGAAAGCCATGGAGATTTTAGTCACGGATTTTGTGAGGAGCAGGGGGTTTGGGGGACGTGGGTGGGGAGTCAGTTGAGGACATTGGGCCTCACCCAGTATGCTGAGAAACTATTTCTGGCTCTGTGCTCAGGAGTGCACTATTCAGGCAGTACTCAGGGGACTATATGTGGTGTGGAAACTCGAATGGGTTCAGCAGGATGCAAGGCATGCGCCTTACCCACTGTATTATCTCTTTGGCCCTGATTATATGTTTATTCTGGACCCACTCATAGGGGGTGACTTTCCCAGGGCACCCCTCATTCACAGGAAGCATGGACTCCCCCCTTCATCATGACTGATACTGCCAGCTCATTGATGAATAGCTCAGCGGCCTTGTGACAGTTACACATCAAAGAGCGTTCCTGTTGAATACCATCAGAGCTCTCGATTTTGTTTTAGATGAACCTTTAACTTTCTGTATTCTCTCTCCTGTCTTCTGGCCAGGTGTCTGCCCAGGGCATTCAGTCCACACCCCTAAACCTGGCAGTGAACTGGCGGTGTGAGCTGGCCAGCACTGACCTGCGCATCGATTACAAATACAACACAGACGCCATGACCACTGCCGTGGCCCTCAATAACGTGCAGTTCCTGGTCCCCATTGATGGAGGTGTAACCAAGCTCCAGGCTGTGCTCCCACCTGCAGTCTGGTAAAGACCCACTCATCCTGATCCTCCCTCTCCCCACTAGGCTCCTGTGGGCAAAAGGAACACAGACACAGCGTTTGTGTTTCCTTTTGAGCAGGTCTGCATGTCAGGGACCAGGGTGCAGTAGATGCTGCAGTAGAAACTGCAGAAAAATGATTTAGCATAGCTTGTGATGCTGAGTCAGGATTGCGAATGTCGGTGAGACCAGCCATATGTGGGAACTCCAGGAAAGCTCCCCAGAGCACTGCACAGCTGGGCAGACGGGAGCTGCTTCCTCTGCCACACCCAGAAGGAGGAAACCGAAGATGTAGAATCCCCTTTGTTACTCTGCTGCGGGAATAAGAAAACTTCAGCTACCGCTGTCTTCCCAAAGCTGTTAAGAGAGTCCATCTCTCCACTTGCTGACCAGCAAAGAACAGCCAAGAGTGCAGGGAAATAGCTCCCTTTTCACCTTCAGATCTCACCAGTCTGAGTGACTGGCAGCCCTCATGAGTTAACAGGATCCTCACCACAAGCATGTTGGCAAAATTCTAGCTTTCAGTGCAAAACCTTTTGGTTTGTGTAAATGAACATAACAGAATAGAAAAAAACAGTAGAACTGTCCTTTGTTTTTCAATAAGCTTGTTAGAAGCAAGCACTGTAACACTGTCCTCCCGTTGTTCATTGGTTTGCTCAAGCGGGCACCAGTAACATCTCCATTGTGAGACTTGTTGCTACTGTTTTTGGCATATCAAATACGTCACAGGTAGCTTGCCAGGCTTTGCCATGCAGGCGGAATATTTTTGGTAGCTTGCCAGGCTCTCCGAGGAGGGCAGAGGAATCGAACCCGGGTCAGCCGCATCAAGGCAAACACCCCATTTGCTATGCTATTGCTCCAGCCCCAAAAAAAGCAAAAAAAAAAATGGTACTAAGAGCAATCAATCAATCAATATCTCACATGATTCTCCAAGACGAACCTGACAGGGGCTGGAGCGCTAGCACAGGGGGTTAGAAGCAAAAAAAAAAATTGAAATCTTTCAAAGTTAAATATTGGACATAATAAACCACCTCGAATTTAAATTACCTGACTGTGAAGAACACGGCAGAGTCTGGCAAACTCCCCGTGGCATATTCAATATGCTAAAAACCAGTAACAATGATGGGTCTCATTCTCCTGACCCTGAAAGAGCCTCGAATGTGGGCACTTTTTAAAACCTCAGGGCTAGGACAAAGGAGACATTACTGGGGCCTGCTCGAGGCAATTGATTAACAACAGAATGACAGTGATACAATGATTGTGAAGAACCGCCAAGCACCACCAGGTCCCCCCCCAACACACACACACACACACACACACACACACACACACACACATACACACCAAAAAATTATTTGACTGAACAGATTATCACTTCCCATTAATTTTTTCACTTAAAAAATTGACTTTGTATTGTCTGTTAACGATTTGTCTATTTGAAGTGTTATGATATTTTTTATGATGGGAAAGAAGAATTTGTGGGTGGAGGGACTGAAGAGTGGAGATAATAGGGTGGGTAAGGTGATTGCCTAGCAAATGGCCAACCTGGGTTAAATCCCTGGCACCCCATATGGTCCCCAAGTCTTGCCAGGAATGATTCTCGAGTGTAGAGTTAGGAATAATCTCTGAGCACAGTCAGGTGTGGCAAAAAAAAATTTGAGGGGTGGATGGACCTATTAAGCACCAACCCTTGTTGGACCAGGCATATGGCTCAGCAAGAGTGTGTTCTTGCATGCGTGAGGCCCATGTGCCATTCCCAGCATCATCGAAAAAGAGAGAGAAAGAAAGAAAGAAAGAAAGAAAGAAAGAAAGAAAGAAAGAAAGAAAGAAAGGAAGGAAGGAAGGAAGGAAGGAAGGAAGGAAGGAAGGAAAGAAGGAGGAAGGAAGGAAGGAAGGAAGGAAGGAAGGAAGGAAGGAAGGAAAAAGAAAGAGAGAAGTAGAGGGTTAGAGCAATAGCACAATGGGTAGGGCATTTGCCTTGCATGTGGCAGATCCAGGTTCAATTCCCAGCATCCCATATGGTCCCTGAGCACCGCCAGGAGTAATTCCTGAGTGGAGAGCCAGGAGTAACCCCTGTGCATCGCCGGGTATGACCCAAAAAGAAAAAAAAGAGAGAGAGAGAGAGAGAGAAGTAGAAAGAAAGAAAAAAATAGAAGTAGAAAGAGGGAGAGACAAAGGAAGGAAGGGAGGAAGGGAGGAAGGAAGGAAGGAAGGAAGGAAGGAAGGAAGGAAGGAAGGAAGGAAGGAAGGAAGGGGAGAAGGAAGGAAGGAAGGAAGGAAGGAAGGAAGGAAGGAAGGAAGGAAGGAAGGAAGGAAGGGGAGAAGGAAGGAAGGAAGGAAGGAAGGAAGGAAGGAAGGAAGGAAGGAAGGAAGGAAGGGGAGAAGGAAGGAAGGAAGGAAGGAAGGAAGGAAGGAAGGAAGGAAGGAAGGAAGGAAGGAAGGGAGGGAGGGAGGGAGGGAGGGAGGGAGGGAGGGAGGGAGGGGAAGGAAGGAAGGGAGAGGGAAGGAAGGAAGGAAGGAAGGAAGGAAGGAAGGAAGGAAGGAAGGAAGGAAGGAAGGAAGGAGAATAAAATACCTTGAAGATACACATGTTTTATATCTATTTTATTTTTAGGAATGCTGAACAACAAAGAATATTGTGGAAGATTCCTGATATTTCTCAGAAATCAGAAAATGGAGGTAATCACAGTCTTTTTTAAATAATATACAAGGTCGAAATCACTTTCAAGTATCAAGTGTTAATCAAATACACTTAGCACTAAAATCATGTTGAACGTCACATTTTTAAAATTTACATATTTTTGACCTTCAGAAGCAATGGTTCTTCAAAGAATCCTCCTCCTCCTTTTCTGCCCAAGATCCCACATAAGAAAGACCATTCTTTAGGGAGCAGACCTTTGAACGAAGCATGTTTCTATCTGCTATTACATCTCACTGTTAGCACTGTAGCACTGTCCTCCCGTTTGCTGGAGCATGCCCAGTTACATCTCCGTTCCAAGACTTGTTACTGTGTTTCGCATATTGAATACGTCACATCCCTGATAAATTAGACCTGAAATTAATCATTAACTAAATCATGCATTGCCTTCCAAGGAGTGTGGCCCCAATTTTAAAGTGGCATTTGACTGAATTCCCTCTTTATCAGCCTGTAAAGAATTACTTCTATAAACAATTAAATTTGGTTCATCACCATTCAATTCACAATGCATACTGTCTTCTTCCATTTGGATTTTGTATGTTAACTTTGGCATGCAATTTCCAAAGTCCTTTCCAGCATTTTGTGGTGACTGTTTTCTTCTAATAACAATCTTTTTTCTAGGTGTGGGTTCTTTACTAGCAAGATTTCAGTTATCTGAAGGTCCCAGCAAACCTTCCCCATTGGTTGTGCAGTTCACAAGTGAAGGAAGCACCCTTTCTGGCTGTGACATTGAACTTGTGGGAGCGGGGTATCGATTTTCACTCATCAAGAAAAGGTTTGCTGCAGGTGAGTGGATATCGTAAACATTTCCTATAAAAATCCCATTTCTAATAATACAGATAAGGGCCAGGAGGGTCACTCCACGTCTTGGAAGCTGACCTCACATGCTGGGGGAAAAGGCAACTGGGATAGACAAGGGACCATTAAGTAAATGAAGTTTGGAGGGCTCGCTTGGGATGGGAGATGCATGCTGAAAGTAGACCATGGACCAAACCTGATGGCCACTTACTACCTGTATTGCACACCATAACACCCAAAAGGAGAGAGAGAGAAAAAGGGAATGTGGCTATCACAAAAGCATGTGAAGGATGGAGTGGGGTGGCGGGAGGGATACTGAGAATACTGGTGGTGGAGAATGAGCACTGGTGGAGGGATGGGTACTTAATCATTGTATGACTGAAACGTAATCACGAAACTTTGTTAAGTCTGTAACTGTATCTCATGGTGATTCACTAAAAATAAATCAATAAATAATTTTTTAAAAAAATGCCATTTCCAGGATATATGATCAAAGTGAATTTCGGTTCTATTTGTTTTAGTCACTGTGGTTTATAATATCATCAATAATAAGTTTTATGTAAAACGTTTCAACTCTATACACTCCACCAGCATGTACTTCCCTCTACCATTATCTCAGCCCATCCCCCCAATATTATCCTCTCCCCCACCCCCTTCCTCTCCACCCCCAGTGACCTACCACTCCCCGATCCCCCTACCTCCTGGGGAAGCTCAGTTCTGCAGACCCATTCTCAGCTTTTGTTGCCTTTGGCCATTTGTTATTGCCTTATTATGCTTCTTTCTGTTTTTTTATTAGTCTTGATCCCCACAGTATGTAATATTTAGTTCCTGGGGATAGAACTGGAAAAATAGAAATGTTACCCATGCCCATGTAATAATCTCATTATCAAATTAGCAGGTAACTTGTTGATATGTTGCTTTGTGTTTCAGGAAAATACTTGGCAGATAACTAATAAAAATTTATGCAAGGATTTGGAAGAGTCCTCTCATGGAGAACTGTTGTGTGAGAAACAGGTTTCCATTTTGGTTTGGTGAAAGCAAACCAAAATCTGCATTTGGGGATATCTCTGCTGGAAATGTCGATGACTTTCAGCAACAATTCCCTCCCACATACGTCCTACAGTATTTACTTCTAGGTGTAATATTGTAATGGTTTTAAAATGTAATTATTGTATTTGTATATTGTACTCATTCCAGTAAGGCAGTTAGACACTTGAGTTTTAGCATTTTGCCATTCCTGAAATGGATGTAATTTAAACTGTGGTATGTAAATTTAATAGTAGCACTGTTGACTGACACAATGCTTACAGAGGTAGACTGCATTTTGTCAATATATAAAACTTAAAGATAATATGGATAGCTGTCATAAAGGGGGTGCCACATATCAAAAAAACTAAGTGGAACCAGAAAAAAAATTACTTTTCTTCAGTCCTTAGTATGTTTTACTCTAGTGTGAAATTAAAAAGTCTATCTTCAGATGTTTAATGGGTTAAATTAAGAACTATTTCAGAAAAAAGAAAAACTCTAAGGTTACAGCCTGTTCCAAAAAAAAAAGCATTAATTACCACTTTTTAAAAAGCTTTTTTTTCAAACTGCAAATTTCATAAAAATGCAAACTGTGTAAACAGGACCTCTTATTTTTATAACTTGTGTAAAAAGGGAAAGCAATTCATATTTAAAGTTTAAGTATATGAAATTATAATCAAGAGAGAAGAAGATGAAGTCTTAACCATGTGTTCTCTCTACAGTTTAGCAAATGTAGAGATTGCCGAGTAATCAGATTGAAACCAAAATTGTGACTTTAAGATTCCCCAACTTTCCACAGTGCTGGTCAATAATTTTTGCACAATGACAACTTCTAACACAGAGTCTGACTCATCTTGCCCAGGGAACGGTACCTCTTATCTTAAACCCATAGGTGTCAAAATGTTGAGAATGAAAGCCTAGGGGCAGTGGTGAGAAATGTCCTCCAATCAGATCCAGAAGGATAATTTGTTTCATTGTCATTTCTATCACTTGGGATGAAAAAGGAAATGCTCAACTACAGATGAAATTCTAATCACCATCATGGTGCAATAAATTTCCTTTTGGATGAGCAAAATCATTGTATGTAGCTAAAAATCTTTGCCAATCTTAGGGAATGAGAGAGAGAGTTATCCAACACTTATGTCATTTTTTCACTGTTACAAGGTTTAATAAACAATTGCAGTTTCTCAACCTGCCCTTTCCCACCAAACAAAAGCACTCAGAATGGTGAAGTCCTTCCTCAGAGTTCCCAGTTAAAATATTTTCTTTACTAGAATCAGGAAACATGATTTTTCCATTAAGTGACAGAATTAGTTTTACCCCAAATCCAATTACTAAGTCACACTTCTCAGTAGCTATAATTATTAAATTGTTATATTTCCCATTCAATGTTAAGTTTTATTTTACATTCACTCATTTTTTACCAGGAATTTCCATTCCCTTTAAGTTGTAGAACAAATTATTTTGTAAGTTTTACTTTTCAGATGAGGTTGACTGGCAATTGTTTATAGTAGAACTTTTAAATTATTATTTGTACCTCTCAATCAGTGCTTGCTTCCATTAGAATGTAAAAAATGATTGTTTTACTCTGGAAAGATTATTCTTACTTAAACTCTCTATTGACTGCCAATAGCAACCCTCTGTTAAAGTTTTTTAAACAACTTTAAAAGGGTTAAAGGTTTCTTCTAAGTAAAAACATTCAATATGACTTTGAAAGCAAAACAGAAAATGACAACTTTTGAGTCCCATGAAACATGAGGTCATTTCAAACACTGAAATTGGTGGAGAGTGAACAGCAGAAAATTGATTTATTCTGTTTGTGAATTTAAAAATGTGTTTCTAAGTCATTGATTCATGAGAAAACATACTGAATATTAATATGAAGCATATTAAAATGTGTAAATATTACTGGTTCTCATGTCTTGCTCTTTATATTTTATTTTATATAGTTCTGGAGTAAATTAGTAAACACTGGTTTTATTTTCAGAGAATAATTTTGTTGATATTGTAAAAAAATGTAATTTAAAACATAGATCACAATAATATCTAACATTATTCAAATATTTTCAGCAATTTGAGACTATGAAATTATCCTAAGATCTCTTAATTGGTCTTTGTGAAATAGAATGGGAGTCGGTGATTTCAAAATTATAAGCCCATAAATAATCAAATTCTCAACAGGATATATATATACCTATATGTGTATATATATATATATATATATATGGGGCCCTTCTCCTTTCATAAAATAGGTCATAAACTAACACAATAAAGTCATATCAGGGATTTAGATCTTGGTGGGTTTTTCTAATCTTGTAGTTTGTAATCTTCTGCTATACCTGTATCCAGTGTACTGTACAATAAGAACTTGTGTTAGGAAAAAATGTTCCATGACACTGCAAGAATCTCGGTTATCAAAGAAATAGAGGTCAGGTTCAGGATCAACTCCTAAAACCCAAAGAAATGGACTAGTACATGTTAAGATGTTTAATACCAGGCATGAAAATCAAAAGAAATGGTTGTTGTTAGCTGGAACACCATTTCCTGAATTTTATGATTTAAAAATTGTTTGCTCGAACAGAATAGAAAGTCTGAATGATCCCGTTTTATGTTGGCAACAGTAAAAACATGTTTTTTTTCTTTTTAAATAAATTCCACGTTTTCATGATATTTTTAAATAAATTCCTATTGAGTCTGAATTGTATCATAATTGGGATTTATTATTTCTAAAAGTCAACTTTTTCATTATTTTCAATCTCTGTTCTTCTCTATGCCTAGAGCCAAGATGAAACCTCACTGTTTTCACATTGTGGTGAGTTTGAGAATGTACTTCACCTGAAAAAGAAAAATGTCCACATTTCCAGGGAATTCAAGTAAAGAGGAACCCCTCAGAAACTCAAACTATAAAAGTTTTACTTTTGTCTTTTAGTATTTTCACTCAACACACATTTGCTGTGGTCATAATTCTATAGATTTCCATTTCTAAATACTTTCAGTGAAGGCTTCTCACTACATTTGTTATCCATAAACTCCTACTTGTGACCACAGATAAATCACTGCCATTTTCTCTCCTTTTTCTGAAATGAGAGGTTGGTTTCTTCCTTTCCTATCTAAATGCCTTTAATATCTTTTTTTCTGCCTAACCACTAATGCAAGTACTTCCAGAACTATATTGAACAGAACTGGTGAAAGTGGGCATCCTTGTGGAATGAGAGGTTGGGATTGCCAGTGGTTTTCAAATGTTTCTTAACTGCAGGATTTGATTTGTACTAAAATAGCACATGGAAACCTGGTAAGCTAAGTAGCTGAACGCAATGCAGGAGTTGCTCCGGCATCTTAAATCTGAGTCTCCGGGTACACTGCTTGCACACCATAATAATGTAGCTACAATCTGCAGTGGCTTAGGGTTCTATTTGACTTGGCTACATTCACCCCTGCGAATTTTCCATGGAAATATTTATAATCAAGGTGATTGATACAGCAAAAGTTGCTTGATTTTTCACCATAAGCCAGCCACTAGACTTAATAATTGTTCATTTAATCTTTATAGAAACCCTAAAATTGTCTGTACTCTTCAATTACAACTTTATACATGAGGACATTGCAATTTAGATAGATGAATTAAATCTTCCAAAGTGATGCAGTTGCTGGAGCCAACACAGTTATCCCTCACAGGGAGCCTCTGCACTGTTTGTTGTTCATTTTTAGACAATTATCTTCATTTTGAACAAGGTATTATAAAGTAAAACTATACTATATCCTGCCCATTTGAAGGTAAAAAAGCACAGTGAAAGATTAGTACCAAGATAAGGATAATTCCAATAGCAATATTGTCAAAAACGTTCAGTGTTTCTCAAAGTATGATTTGTGGCTCATTTGTATTGTCATTTATGGTGAATAGACAATGATGTTGACTTATCACTATATCCTTAAAGTCTAGAAGTAGGAGGAGTCCATAAATTTATATTGAATGCTCAAATCTATAGGACAAACCCAGGACTATGTACTTAGTTTTCAAACAAAATCATAGCCCAGGTAGACCCTCTCAGGTCCTTATTAGTTCTGACATCATATCAGATTAAAAGTGGAAAATTATTTTCTAGTAAGTTTTGTTTGTTTGTTTATTTTGCTTTTTTGGGTCACACCCGGCGATGCACAGTGGTTACTCCTGGCTCATGCACTCAGGAATTACTCCTGGTGATGCTCGGGGAACCATATGGGATGCTGGGAATTGAGCCTGGGTTGGTCTCGTGCAAGGCAAATGCCCTGCTCACTGTGCTATTGCTCCAGCCCCTATTCTAGTAGGTTTATGTCTTATTCAGTCCGTTTCATTTCCTCCAACCTTAAAATAAAAAATAGGGAACACTTCCTAAAAATCTCCCTATTTTTTCCTAAGATTCTCATTTATGCTATTTCATTTTCACAGTGAAATGTATTTTCTGATTTTCATATTTTTGTTTCTTTCTTCTCTGTCTTAAAAACTGAAAGCATCACAGTAGAGAGGCTGCACACTATTGAGCTTTCTGGATATGAGATTCCTAATCAAACTCTCCCTCCTAGTGTGGGCCAATGAGACATAGAAAGAATAAAGTTCACTAAGTTTATTTTGTAGGCTTTTGAATTGGACACTTTATAAAAAAAATTCACAAACATGACCCCATATTATTCTGAAAAGAGCTACACTAATCATGTTTCCTTTTTAAAAAACAATCGAAGACTATCAGTTAAAGTTAAATGTCATCATAACTTGTTCAAATATCTCTAATAAGGACATGAGTTTGTTAGAGGGGTTTGTCATCTTTTACTCTCCCAAAACATTAGATAATTAAGCAAAACCCAATCTGACTGAATGTTTGGCTACCTGGGTATCTTTTTTTTTCTTTTTTCTTTTTGGATCATACCCAGAGATGCCCAGGGGTTACTCCTGGCTCTGCACTCGGGAATTATTCCTGGTGGTGCTTGGGGAACCATATGGGATACCGGAAAGCCAACCGGGGTAGGCCGCATACAAAGCGAATGCCCTACCCACTGTACAATACTGTAAAAATCTGTGGATCAGAAATCAGGCCCCTACATGGTTTTCTGATCCACGGGTTTTTTTTTTTTTAAAAAAGAAGCATAACTTTGATAATAGCAAAATGAGGAGAATCTCTAAATAGAGCTCTGACAGTTAACAGAAGTAAATGTGCCACTTCCTTGAAATTAGTCCAGTTAAACTATTGATACCAATGAATAAATAGTACATGTTACATCAATCTAAAAAGTTATTTCAATGTCCCAACTACACCATATCACCCCCACCCACTTTTTTTTTTTAAAGGCCCTCCCGTTGATCATCGATTTGCTCGAGCGGGCCCAGTAACGTCTCCATTGGAGACTTTGTTGTTACTGTGTTTGGCATATCGAATACTCTCGGTAGCTTGCCAGGCTCTCCGAGAGGGGCGGAGGAATCGAACTCGCCTTGGCCACGTTGGCCGTGTGCAAGGCAAACGCCCTACCGCTGTGCTATCGCTCCAGCCCACTTTATTCTTTTTTTTTCTTTTTGGGTTATACCCAGCAATGCACAGGAGTTGCTCCTGGCTCAGCATTCAGGAATTACTCCTGGTGGTGCTCAGGGGACCATATGGGATGCTGGGAACCCGGGTTGAGCGGGCGCAAGGCAAACACCCTACCCGCTGTGCTATCGCTCCAGCCCCTTCCATTCATTCTTTTGTGAGCCTTTGTTGCATTTTCCTACTCCTTTGGTTTTTCCATTTGGCAAACAGCACTTGAATACCTATCAATTCAGTTCTGAATTATACATGGCCACTCAGTTACAAATGTACAGTGGTAATGTGAGATGTATGATGCTTAAGTCTCTGCATAAGTCAGAGACGTTTCTGAATAT